ATATAAATATATTATATTAAGTATTTGAAGGAGACCTTTGCCAAAAAAGTGCACACAGATATCTAAAAAGAATGAGATGATAGAAATTTAAATGTGTTTAAGTGTATCTGAAATAGAAGGCTTTTATTATTATGTATCGAAATGATGTTTTAATACATCTAGATATTTGCAAACGACAATGATGAGAACTATATTTGTATATTTCAATTATTTATGATAAAATAATCACGAGATAATATTTCACAATTGTCTTTTGTTCATTTCTCTTCTTTATTAAACAATTGAATTTTCTTTCTATGTCCGAATTCAACATTTGTTAATACGTCGAAGCAAACTTGAAAAATCGTGGGGAAACCGGCATGCCTTAGATCCAAAAAGTTCAGATAGGTACAGGAATCTAAAACCAAGGTTGTAGCGCCAATTTTTTATAATTAATTTTCCATTTCCTCGGGTAATTATTTGCAGGCTAACGAAGACTTAAATGACCCAATTCTTAGCCTTAACTATGCCTGAAACAGAAGTTAGTAATGAAAAAATTTAAAAACCAAAACAAAAATATTTCATAAGCACCAGCCAAATCAAAACAACATTAATTACTCCCTAATCTAAGGATAATGCTTACGCGGCGAATTTTATTGTAATTATCGTAATTTTGTCGGAGAGCTTATACAATGTGACGTTGTATTTTAATCTATTGCAGAGGAGATTCTTATGGCTTTCTGGAATCCTGAAAGCGGAAGTATTTTTTTGAATTCACGGTTGATGGCCAATTTTAATGACGTTTTTAAAATTGGAACATATTATCTGCATCGGTTTTAATTAGCTTAAATTGCAAGCCCCGGCTTATTAAGCTAGCCAGCTAGGCTTCTTAAGTTTTCTGGGCCCTTCGCAGGCTTCACGGAGCGACTTCACTGCTGCAAGAATTTCTATTTGTTGGGAAGTCACAGCCACACATTCCACGACTACGTGACTACTGATTCCTTTGCGTTGAAACAGGTTCTGCACAACAGACTGTCAGTCGCGAAGGACAAAGAGATGTTTATTAAAGAGACAGTATAAGAAGACAAGTATGTATAGACAAAATATATTTCTTTTCTTTATTTTATTGATTTTCAATTGCCGCAGACATCTACATTGTTTCACAACCGAAACTTATTATGTAATACTAAGATACTACAATCGAATTTATTTGTAAAAAGAACATAATATGATTCCTTAAATAGTATCAGTTAAAATTACTACAAAAATTCTAGGTTTCCGAATGAGAGTGGCGCCTAACAAAGGACAATTATACCTTAACCTTTTTAACAATTAAAAAGGTTAAAGGTAATAAAGAAAATGCGGGGAAATTAATAAAATTAAGACACGTATAGTCTACCACTCTCGGTCCGACAATTACGATTTGATATCTATGCTAATATAAGATTGAGCTTAAGATATCCGCGAGAATAGCGAATGAAAAGCTTCATTGCACTACATTATAATATGCAAATGTGTGAATCGGGAATGGAACCGGCGACCGGGTGCAACAACCGCCTCGCTCAATATTACACCACGCCACGTGAATACTCCTTATAGTTAAGTATTTTGGTAGATCAAGATATATGTGGTAGCGATTTTATTGTTAACTACCACACACGGCTGGTTATGTTCATTACTTTCTAATTGCAACCAATTTTGTTAGGTAAAGCAATAATTCCATTTTAAATTATAGTAGTCAAGTTGTAGAGCATATCATATAAACAATACTGACCATGAGATGTTAAAAAAGCAATTATATGTTTCACTTCATTCTGATTGGCCAACAGAACCTTTAGTCCAAATTGTCCAATCATAGACGTGCGACACGTACTGTCTTTCCATTTTACCAAATAATTAAACGCAGCGGCGTTGAATCCGTCGTAGAGACAGCGTAGCAGCACCGTAGACGTCTACAAAACATCTCTTGATTTGCCCAGATCTTTTCATCACTCTAAAAGATCTATATTGTGGCGTGGTCGAAGGATCTAAGCGTCTATGCCTTGTACCGTAGTGTAATAAAATGTGGAATGCGGGCGGTATGCGCCGCCCGGGGATAAGGGAGAGTGACGTCACCAAATCCACCTCAACGGAATTGTGCAAAAATTCGCCTTTTATTTCCACACTAATATAAAGAGGCAGTTAGTGGGTTTGTACGTTGGTATTTGTAAAAATAGATGAACTGTGTGTAATGATCATATTTAAGCTATTAGAACTATTAGTATATGGATTATGCTTACAATAAGTTAAATTGCATAAAAATAATACTTGATTTTCAGTGCAAATTTGGCAATGAACCGCCTTCCCATCAGTCTGGTTAAGCATTGTGGCGTGATTAAAGGTTCTTGATTTATTTCCGGGGAAACAATAATATTTCCGGGATGGCAGACAGAAGGTAGATATCTGGCTGGCGCCTACTTGACTTAAAACTAATTTAACCGACGCAGTAACGTATTTTGTCCTGCGTCGTGATAAGATAAGGTTTTTAAATGAAACTCGCAACTCAACACTAGTGAAGAATAAATTTAATGCTCAATACGGTTAACCCGTTTTTCGCTTTTTGGATTTAAGTGATGCGCATTTCGGCAAAAAGCTGAACTAAATTAAAATATTAATAGATGTTATACGAGTGTATTAATTTTTTTGGTTTATCAAAAAATTTGGTTTGATTTTTATATACGCAAAAATTTATAAATAATTTTAAAAAAGTTTGTACTTATACTGCGAGTTATCGTTAAGGATGGGAAAAATAAATGTTTGTATAGAAAACCCTTTATAGAGAGAACTAGGCGGATTACGAACATACTTCGTGCAAATAATATTCGTATAGCACACCAAATGTATGAAAAGTCTAAATGTATCAGATACATTATTGTTTCAACTTATACCAATCATTGTCAAGTTTGTACTAACATAATCAAGAGTAATAAGATTAGGTGCTAATAAAGTTTGTTAGTAGTTTAAGGTAGCATGTTAGTTAGTATACATATTATAAATATTGTTTGGTATCTATACTGTAATTAAACAAAGGTTTTAATACCATTCAAACGCCGCCAATTTAATAGACCCAAAGCAAGATGCATAACAGCGCAGGATGTTCAAATGAGTACCAAATTTTTTCAATAAAAATTAATTTTTTGAATGGATTTTTGTCATTACTCAATGAAATGAATGTGTGTAAGTACGTTTCCCCATATATATTTCTAACAAAAACCTTCGAATAAAACAGAGAAAACACATGTATCATTTCGACATCAGGCCGATATAACAAGATATTGAACCGGTCTATTTTTTGCGGCGTCGTAATTTGACAAGACTTGATAAATGAGCGCATTGCTTTGATTGATCGTTGCGCGAGCGACGCAATTGTATGCTTCAATTGTACCAGTATTATTATTTAGATTTATATAACACCGGTATGGGAATATCAATGATAACTGCTCTGGCTTCGTTGGCACAAAGCGTGTAAGTCGCACGTCGTAGGCCGATTTACGGAATAATTGATTTGGGAAAGTACTACCTTGTGAATTCAAAAATAACCAACGGTAGAGATTTATCTAGTACAAGCTCTATTAAGGAGTCTCGGCACTTCATACGTGAGAACTCAGAAGTACACACGAATATAAAAGAATTCGGGCTTCCATTGCCAAAGACATTTTTCTTCACCAAAATTATAAAGAAGTAAATGCGGCCGTGTAGTAAAAAAGTACTTTATATTTTGATATTCAGGTAAGATTTTACACATTAAATGTGTAATGAAAATGTTGATTGTAACCCACACGGCATACATATTATATTAGTTATTATAATAAATTTAAATTTATAATATAAAGTATAAGTGCATGTAGTAAATTTAATACTATACCACATCCACTATAGTATTTGACCGAGCTAAACAATAGATCAATATGATAATTCCTATGTCTTCAAGCTTTGAGATGTTGCCTATTATTATCAGATTTTTCCGACATCATCATAATCTCTATCAAAACCGAAAAATATGTTATTTTATGAAATTAATTAATAAATAATAATTGTTTTTCTTAAATTCTTATTTATTTATAAGTTCTAAAACAACATATATGCCTAACATTTTACAAGAAGATATGACTTCACAAATTTTACACACATACTCATCAATTATATTAGAGCATAAACAAGCTAGCAAGGGAAACAATTAAACAAGCTACCACAAAATAAAGAAAATAAAAAAATAAACAAACATTAATAAAATAATAATAACTAAAACTAAATAAACTTAAACCTCATAAGACCATGATAAACAAAGTTACGGTTAGTTGGAAGATTGTTATATTTTAAAATGAATATATTGAGAAAAAGATTTTAAAGAATTCAAACTAAAATGTGTAGTTTTATTGATATACTAATATGAGATATCGAAATAAATAATTAATTTGCAAACTTTTGTAAGATTGTTCTTATATATTTAACGAGTTCACTAGTAAAAAACTTTTGAGTTTTAATGATTTGCAAAAATATTCATACAGCCTTCAAAATTATATCCACCGAAATACAGGTCAACGGTCAACTTGAAAATAATTTATGTTACCATTTCCTCAGCGCAAAAATTTCCCGAAAACAATTTATTTCACTTAAATTTATGAACGTATGGTCATGCTCCAGTTAAGAAACTGAGAAATATACTTTGCCTGAATTTTTATTGTTTAATTTTGGAAAAAACTGAGTTTTCTGGCATTGTTAGGGTTTTTTGTATTGATGCTACTTTGGTTTAGTTTCGAGTCATCCAATTTGAGTGTTTTAAATCTATGACGTAATTCATTTTCTGTGGTCGATTCTTTTCCTCAATTCGTGGAACCTTCTTTGAGTTGATTGGTGTGCTGGTGTAAGACGATTGCATATATAGATGCAAAAAAATATTCTCGATAGAATATAGATAAGTATAACAATGAATCTGATTCACACATCAAATTCTATTAAGTATTACGTAGCAATTTTCATACTTACGGCCCGCTTGGGTGCCTACGTAACCTTCCACCCTTATTTATGTATCTATGGTACGTAGAAATGCTCACCTTGCACTGTGGAAACTGCTCTAGAGGTCTGCTAACTCTCCATCCCAATAACGGCGGTATACAGACGAGTGCGCTCATGAGCCATACTGCTGCAATCATGAGCGCCGCACGTGCAGGTGTCCGCTTTTTGAGGTAATCTACCGCCTGTAAATAACAATTTTATTGTTTACTATAGAGTTAGGGCTAATCAAAATTAAGTTAAGCTTACGTTGTAGTATAGTTCTTACTTGGAAGACAATACTTCTTTTATTCTTAGGAATTCAGTGATAATATATACTACTAAACAAAATAATATAAAGAGGAAGCATTTGCGTTTTTATATCTTTTTAAAGATTGATCTCAAAAACTAATTAAACCACAATATCTTTCCCTATCCCTTTCACCTCATACTCGTGAGGTTAGGTTAAAAAGCCACCGACATTGGATGTCGAACTTAACGCGGTGACTGTGGGCTGATCCTTCACTGCTGACAAAGGTAGACCCTTAAACTTGCCTAGAGTTTGTCAAAGCTATTCAACCAAAGGTTCATATTTTCTCTAAATTTCAAAATATTTTAAAACCAAAATGTTCCGTGCGAAGCCGGTACTATCATCTTGAATCAGTTTTTTAAACTATTGCTACCAATTGTGGATCACCTTCATTGTTTTAATATTCCTACTTTCGGAATTGCATAATAACAGATATTTCTAAAACGGTATCGCTTAAAGTCACAAACCAACAATTTATATTCACAATAAAGTTTATGCAATAAATATCGTGTTCTTAGTTTTATGGGCAATATAATGTATCGGGCTCATGACACGCGAGAGTGCATTCCATGTGTATTTCGGTATCTAGACTAAAGCTAAACATAATAATGTATGTAAGTTATAGTCTATAATACATAATATTTAACATGAATTAAGGATTTTTTTAGGACAGAAAACAAACAGGAGGCTGGTGAGTGCATTTTAATTGGTACACAGCTAAACATAAATAGTGTATTAGAAAAAGACATAATTTGAATCAAGGATTTTTTAAAGAACAGTAAAGGAAAGAAATAAAAAAAAATTAAACACTAGCTGGTGCCCGCGATTTCGTCTGCGCAGGATTAAAACAATATTTGTCCAAATGATGTAGCGTGAAATACATATTATATCTACTTTAAATACCAGAAACGATAAAAGTATCTATTTTCATGTAGGAATCAATTTATTACTACCATATGTGCATTGGTAGTTTTATTGCAGTTATGATTCACTATTTTGGCTATAATAGCTTACACATAAGACATAGATATATCCTGTGGCGGGCTTTTTTGTAGAACTATATAAGATAAACATTTACATCACACATTACATATGTGCAACTCTAGCGGTTTTGGCAGCGGCCGCCAGAATAGCTCGCAGATTTTTTCCTACTTACTTGATATTTTGGACAATTCTCACAAAATCTTTATAAATTGTAGCCTATGTGTTATTCTGAAGAATAAGCTATATTATTGTAAAGTTTCAATAAAATCCATTCAGTAGCTTTTACGTGAAAGAGTAACAAACATCCGTCCATACTTACAAATTTTCGCGTTTATAATATAAGTAGGATAATAAAAAGGATATTTAAGTTACACTAAATTTTACAAAGGGACAGAAGGGACGGAATGACGCACTAATAAAAATAGGGTTGCCTGGAAGAGATCGCTTAAGCGATAAGGCTGCCCGTTTCTTTTTTTAAAGTTATTGTTAATATTATTATTTAAGTTTTGTTAAATTTTAGATAAATAAATAATAAAAAATTGTATAACTAATATCTAAAGTGGGCGAGTTTACTAACGAGGGCGGCACTGAAAATTTCGGGAATCAAGGAAGTGACACAACATTACTATTTAAAAATGTATTTATTGCTTGTCGAAGTATTCTCCGCGAAATTTGACACATTTTTCCAAACTATGGAACCAATCATTGAAGCAACTATTCCATTCGGAAGTTGGGGTCTCCAAAATGGCCGTTTTGTAGGCGTCCACAGATTCTTCAGGTGATGAAAATCTCTGACCACGCAATTTATTCTTTATTTTAGGGAAAGTATAGAAATCTTTAGGGCTTAGGTCGGGGCTGTACGGCGGATGGTCTAATAATTCTATGTTTTCTTGCTCTAAAAACTCTTTTGTTCTGTGCGCGGTGTGAGAACTTGCATTGTCGTGATGGAGGATGATGCGGCGGTTGCAGTTCTCTTACGGAGTTCAGAAACGACCTGTGGCAAACAAATGCTAGCATATCATTCTGCATTAACCGTTCTTTGTTGTGGTTTTGGAGACAAACGTGGCCACCATTTTTTTTTCCAACACTCCGTGAACGAACAATTTTCGTTGGCTTTAACTCATTTTCGAACACCCAAACTCGTGACTGGTTTTTTGTTTCGGGTTCGTACGCGTATATCCAGGATTCGTCACCTGATACGATGTTGTATACAGCATTTGAGGATCCTGCGTGGAATCTTTCGAGAGTTCTGACGCACCAAGTAACGCAAACCGCTTTTTGCTCTTAACAGAGAAAAGGCGGCACCCACCGGAAAAAAAACTTTTTAACACCAAATTGTTCATGCAAGTATTTGACTCATGCCAATGTCTAAAGTTGCCTGAATTTCGCGGTATGTCACATGTCGATCTTCCTCAATCAGCTTACGCACAGCATCAACGTTTTCTTGGATGACTGCAGTTTTTGGACGACCTTGACGGGGATCATCACTGAGCTTGACATGTCCACGTTGAAAATCAGCAAACCAGCGATAAATTGTGGTTTTGGATGGGGCTTCATCACCAAATGCAGAAATCATCCAGTCAACACTCTGTTTTTGTGATAAACCACTTCGAAAGTCATAATAAATCATCGCTCTTGAATTTTCTCGAGTCAATTCCATTATCTCAACGACTAAACAAGTTTGACAAAACATTGTGAAAAGACCGAGAATCTTTTAAAAAAAAATGGTATTCGATTTAAAAAAAAGGAGTTTTCAATTAAAAAGATTTAAATATGACAGGAACAGTGGTATTATTCCATTCCCGATACTTTTAGTGCAGCCTATGTATATACTGATGTTTATTCAAAACGAATACTTATTACGAAAAGTTTATTAATCTATAATCATCATGCAAAATCTTGACCGTTAATCAATTTTATCATAAAATTTACTAAGCCATTGGACATTTCAAATTAAATTAAGATTATTTATAACCTTATTAGATTCTAAAAGCTGAATGCTAATATTAAATCTTGTTACAATGTAAGATGTTTACGTTAATGTTACGGCCCATTCCAGTATCAAGATTGTTGTTAAATTTGAGTTATGGCGTGCGACTACCATTTGGGTATTAAAGTTTTATCTGTCTTGCGTCTCCGAGAGCTAAAATTATGTGAATAGTATTTTCGTCGTCTCCTCAATGTATATTCAATTAATTTATAATTAATACATAAATAAATGAAACAAATTCAAATGTTTCGTTCAATCGTAATGTAATTTTGTATAAATATGAATGGTCCGTCTTAAATTCCCGTCTATAATACAATATTTATTATCTTTATATCGTCTTAAACAAAGAAAAAGTGTGTAAATTAGTTATCAATAGCGCTTATCAGATACTAAAAAAGCTAGCGTCAGAGACACATCAACAAAATTTAAAAATTCAAAAATCGAATAAATATTTAAATTACCACTATTTCGGAAAACAAACAAAATTTAAATTGGAACGCGCAACCGATTCCAGAATCAATTGGAAATTCAGTTGCATCCCAATAAACAAGTGAAGAATGCTATAGAAAAGGAGTAAAAGATACACCACAGCTCGTGTGAAGATTTCCCAAGCGTTTCCGGTGTGGGATATGATGTCACGTATTGAGCTAAGTTAGAGCCCTGGACGTGAATAAGTCGGGGCCCAAACTGTATATTATTTCTTCGTTTCATAACTGATCTCTCTATAAGAAATTCAAATATTGTAATTAACTTTTATGGAAGAAAATTTATCTTTATAACTTGTTTTTTTTTAACTTGATTATATATTAGTTTAAAAATTCTGAAAAAGGCTGTTATTGTTGTGTTAACTGTATTCAGTCAACCCTAAAAAAAATGAAATTTTACAGGGCCCTTTCTGAATACCTCCCAATGATGCGATATTTACCAACGTTCCTTACCAATTCGAGGACGTATTTGAAAAAGATATTGTGAACACAGCTTTTATTAATTGTTATTTGCACACGGTGTTCTCTCGTGAGCACACAGCTTTACTTATTTTTTAAAAGCTTTGTTTGAATCTTCATTAAACAGCTCCCGCTCTTATGTGCTTACCTTTATTTATTCTGCTTTAATTGGTTCAATCTTTTTGAAGATAGAACGAATTCTGCAATTTGTAAGTTTCATTTAATTGTATAGGGACACAAATGAATAAAATTTTCTTCCTGAGTTTTCTGGCCTTGTAAATAACTATGGGCGGCGGGGCGGTATCACAAACATCGGATGAACATATTACTCGTTTGCTACGTGTTTTATTTAAAAAAATACATAAGTAGTCTGTTTTATTTAAAAAAATACATAAGTAGTCAATGCTTTTTGGTATGTGTATTGTACAATTTGTTTTTTTATTGCAGCTTTTGATAAGATTTTTGAAGTTATACTTCTTTTGTTTTGTTTGGGAAAACAAATAAATGTTTGTTTGAGTAAATTTTAACGATGCGCGCGCACACTGTAACAAAAATCCGACACCAACACACAGTCACAAAAACCGACACCCTGAATAACTGTTCAAACGTCGGTAAAACAGTCTGGGCCGCTAGTTGGCGCTTGCTCTGTTTTATCGACAAGTTGCATTGTCTGTCATGGCGTAGAGTTTTTCAGAGTTGTGTTTATTTAAGCCTACATATTATATCGTTTCTATTGGAAGTTGACAAAAAAATCCAATTCGAAAAGGGGAAACGTCCCTCTAAAGTGTTCGAAGAAAATTATTACGCCAAAGAGGTATCACTTAAAAAGTATAACTTCTAACGAGTGTACATAAGTATACACACGCTTTTTTTAAAATGAACTCGCAACGGTGCCACAGACCTTCAGCTCCACCATTACACATGTCTTATTTCAAAATACAAATTTAATTATAATTAGCACTTCGACCGGAATCGAATCTCCTTACCAAAACCACAGTGCAATGAGTCCATTTATTAATTAATTAATACAAATTTATTAAATAATCATTGAATCAATGCGTCTCCTAATGAATATGTAATGCATTCCATAATATTTGTTGCAGTTACGCCGTTGTAGATCTAAACTCATAACATTTTACGCTAGAACAGACATGTTATTCCACTATGTCAAAGTTATCTTTCAGTTGAAACTGAGATAAAATGTACTTTAAAACTTTCCTGAATGATATTATAACACCTGCTTCACGTGAATTTATTAACCAACTGTTTGAAAACAAAGTTTTCCTAAAATGTGCATCAACATATTATTATGACATGACTTAAAGAATCTTATGATATTTGAGTTTGTTTTATCTATACTAACATTCTTGAGTTTGAGTTAACTCAAGAATTACTAGAACCATTTGGCAAATTATTTCACCGTTAGAATAATATAGCCCATATTAAGAGCAGTGTTGGTCTAGTGGCTTAAACAT